GATACACTTGATCCAACGATTCTCCAACTTCTTCAAGTCGTCCGAATAATATGATTTGTAATAAAGAGCATACAGTCACAGCAATAGATGTTAAACAAGTCATATATTTAAAATTCAAAATAAATAAGTAGACGTTTCGGTCAAGATTTGACCATCATCAGTACACAAAAAAATGACAAAAATGAGTCTTACAAACTAAAACGCAAGTCGGATGTTAAAATAAAAATTAGATAATATAATAGAGAATTAATAAGCAAAATAGATACATATAATTACAGCCGAAATGATCATAATTTAAAAGTTAAAATAATTTCTACAAACGTTCAATTAATAAAACGTTCAATTAATAAACATATAATGTAATTATATAATGCACTTTGAAAACAACATGTAATTAATAAACATACATAAGAAATAGAGTTAAGGAAAGATGTAAAATACAGTAACAGTTATATAGCGTTTATTTTGCGTTTGAAGCTCGCAAAATTAAAGGCACAAAACAAAACGCTCCGCGAAACAATTCGACGATTCCGTTTGAAGGAAAAGAAGAAGAGCATAGAAGCCAAAGAGACTAATGAACAAGAAACTTTAAAAAAATTAAGCTGTATGTTTTAACCACAAAACTTTAATAAAATATTAGCGGCACAAATTGACGCACAATGCAAAAACAAACGTGGCAAAAGATATGATCGTGATTTTAAAAAATTTGCTTTGTCATTGTATTTCTTAAGTCTAAGAAATTATAAAAAACTGAAGAAAACAATTGCATTGTCTTCAGTATGTTCTCTACAATTATTTACACAAAAGTGGAATATTGTGCCAGGCATAAATGATGAATTTTTTGAAGCACTTAGTAAAATTGAATACATTACCGTTAATAGAACGCCATTGCGTATTATGCGCAAATAAAATGAGCTTAAAAAGCTTTTTATTTTATGATATATCGCGGGATAAGATAATTGGTTTTGAAGATTTTGGTAATAGGAAAACATCCGTATAAAGTGCATTAGTTATAATAGCACATAGCATTGCAGGAAACTGGAAACTACCCGTTTGTTTTTGCTTTATACAAGTTGCATGTCCTGCTACATTTTTAAAAAATATTATATTTTACATCATTATAAAATTAAAAACAATGGTGCTTTGGTGCATGCTTTCATTTCTGATATGGGTTCAAATTTTATCCAACTATCCCATATGTTAAATATTTCGGTAAATAATTCAAGTTTTGTAGTTGATGGAGAAAGACTTGTATATATCTTTGACACTCCACATTTATTAAAAGCAACTCGAAACAACTTATTAAAATACAATTTTCAAATAGATAATAAAATAGTTTCGTGGGATCATATCGTAGAATTTTACAAAGGGACAGCAAATAAAAGCAGCTCCTACATTAAAGTCTCATATAGAACCAAATAACTTTTTAAGAATGAAAGTTAAATATGCTGCACAAATATTTAGTAATCGTGTAGCAGCAGGCATGTGCACACAAATATCTTCTGATTTTCTTCCAACTGAAGCAGTTGGAACTATAGATTTCATTGATCACTTTGACAAATTATTTGATATATTAAATTCATCCAATGTAAATAATCCTAAAGAGTATGGAAAAGTTTTTATTGGAAGTGATAAACAAATGCAATTTTTACAAAACATGTTAAGTTTTTTAAAGTCTATTAAAATAATTAACGATAACAATAAATATGTAAAACTAAAATGCTTTCATTGCTGACAGATCACAATTAAGAGTACAATTCAACTTTGGACGACTTTAAAAAACTAAAATCTTCCATATCTCCGAATACGCAGATTAAATCAAGATAGTGTTGAAAATTTTTTTGGCTCTGTTCGGAAACAAAGTGGTAATTGCCTTAATCCAACACCTATACAATTCAAGCGTGCTTTTAAAAAGTTATTTAATACGAAATTATTAGAATATTCGGAAACAAAATTGTGCAAACGATAACAATGATTTATTAAATATTATCGGAACATCAAATACGACAGAGACATCCACAATTTCAAAACTTGTCAACAAACAAAATTTTAAAAATTCCTATGCATGATTATCACTCAATGGATCTGCCAAAGGAAAATACATTTAAATTTGTGGCTTTTTAGTAAAAAAAATGTTTAGCAATACATTCATGTGCTGTGTATCAAAATTTTGTAAATGACGATAAGGCTGTCTTAGATAGTACAACGCTGTATTGTTCTTTTCGAGCTTACGAAAATGAAAATGGAGATTTATTTGGTAATTTAAAAATACCAACTAATGATTTTACTACATTCACAAATTAGAAGAAATATTTGTCAAAAATTTTGAAAAAAATTGTTATAAAAAAAATATTGGTAATTATCTGTTCCAGTTGACACAAAATGTAGCTTTTGAACCATCATGTCCAGATTTCTCAAAAAATTTCTTAATATAATTGTTTCTCCGGATGCGTATTTATTACACAATATCGCAACATAATAAGTCATGTAAAACAATTATTCGAAAGAATAGAAAACTTTTAAATATTTTACATTTATAATTCTTCTTAATTTGCTGCGTTTTCTATCTACAGCCTTGTTTTTATAACATACTAATTGTAATTTATGATTTATGATCCCATTATAATTATTATAATTATTTTATTGCATTTTTAACAAGTTTCATTGGCTTTCTTCTTCTTTGGTTCATATCGAAGTAGATCGAGTAGCTGAGATATGATTCAAGAAGAGTTGGACAATGAAATGTATTTCATAGAATGAACTGTTATGTATATAACTGTTACTGTATTTTACATCTTTCCTTAACTCCATTTCTTATGTACTATATGTTTATTAATTACATGTTGTTTTCAAAGTGCATTATATAATTACATTATATGTTTATTAATTGAACGTTTTATTATATGCATGTGTTATAAATATGTTTTATTTACTTCCAAATTGCATTATATTATAATTTATACATTGTAATACTTTTATTATGTAATACTTTTAAAATATTTCTTTAATTACATATGTCTATTATTGTTATTATGCATTATTTATTGTTTGTGTGCAATAATGTAATATTATGTACATATTATTGTAATTTTATAAATATGTTTTATAATATTTTATAACATTTTTATAGCATATATTTACAATTATGTAATATTTGAATATTTCTCTATATAAATATATGTTTTAAAGGTAATTTAATATTTTTCCTAATATTTTTCCTACATTTTCTCTTTATTTTTCAATATATTTACACTTTATTTTTATTAATTTTCATTAAGTTCAGATTATTTCATAATAGGTTTATTTGCGTTGCATTTTCTAATATTCTCCTATGACAGCTCTTACTCACTCCAATGCATTTATGAAGTGCGACGCGAATAAATCTAGTTAGTTTTAACAAAGCAAAAAAAGGATGAAAAGAGAAAGAAGTTTAGGTGGTAACCATGGCAACGCTAGGTAACTTACTTATTTCATGCATGCGCACTCCATTTTGGCCAACACTAACATCAAAGGTGCCGACAGAGAGTTGCGCTACTGTATGTACCGTGACAAAGTGACAGATGAAAAACGTCACGTCACAATACATACATACATACATACAGACAGACACACATTACGAGGGTGAATCAAATATTAACCGGAATTCTTTTTTAATATTTATTTATTTATAAAACAATACAAAAATACTGTTGATTATTTTTCTACATAGTCTCCTTCACGCTCTACACATTTTTCCCAGCGGTTTGGAAGCTTGTTAATTCCTTGCTCGTAGAAACTTTGAAGTTGAGTCACCAACCAATTGCGCACGAATTCCTCAACATCTTGATCGTTGTCAAATCGCAATCCTCCAAGAGCATCTTTCATCGGCGCAAACAAATGATAGTCACAGGGTGACAAACACTTGAGTTTTAGACAGAGTATCATCCCCATACTGAACCTTCAATCGAGTCAAAATTTCGCACGGTTTAACGCCTTCCTTAGTTAAAAACTTTATTATAACCCGTTGTGCAACGGACGCTGGAACCTGTTGCTCACTCATAGCTGTACTGGCGAATTGACTGAGTCAAACAGCTCACCAAGCGTTTTCCCCACTCCTGATACACTACACTACAAGAACTTACACTGTGAGAGCGCTCGTGGTTGGCTAAGAAAAGTATTTGTAAAATTCCGGTTTATATTTGATCCACCCTCGTATAATATAGACATATAAATGAATATTAGAATTATATTTTTTATGCATTATTATGTACACACATTACAAAACATGAAATATATTTCTCATTCATGTCTACTATTTGTTTAGATGTATTGGAAATATAAAATATATATTAGGTGTAGTAAAAAGTCATCGCGTTTTTTTAAAAGATATCTATCAGTAAAAACCGCAATTACTTTCTTACCATCAATATAAATATATCTTAATAGAGTAAAGTTTCAGCTTTAAAAATCTCTTTTTTAAATTATACGATACGACAATTTTTAATGGAGTTATGAGCAATTAAAGTCAAAATAATTCTTTTATTTAATCCGCGATAACTCAGTAATCAAAAGTCGTAGGAATATTTAAAAAAA